AATTACTTTTGAAACTGATACAGAAAGGTTCACTGAATTAAATGCATAGTTTAAATAGACGCATAGTTTAAATAGACAATCACATTACTTTCCGATAAAATTGCAATTTTTCGAATGCATCCATCCATTCAGTGAAATGGCAAATGATAAGTACAATATATAAAAAATAGTTCGGAGGAGTCAGTATTATTCCCAATCAAGACTACTTCAGGGGATGAAATTACTAACCAATACTACAGGCAGTAATTGTTAGCAGCAGTCAAGAATTCTAAGATTGCCAAATATAGACATAAGTGTTGAGAATTTACTTAAACATGCACAGCAGAATTTAACAAATTTCAATTTCCATTCAGGATTCAGTTTTGTATTTAAATAAAAATTGTGATAAGAAATATACCTTTTCTTTAATTTGCAAACTCCTTCGCGTTATTCCTTTCCAGCAGCTTGAATCTACCTTCTACAGTTGTCCAATTGTCCAGCCTCCAATGAAATCTACACAGAGAATAGACTGCAACTGCTAGGGTTTTCTCTCTTGTGCCAACAAGAATAATGAAAATCTTATGGATCTCAAACCCTAGTCATGTATTTATATAAACCCAAACGGGCTCGGCCCAGTCCGGTCCATTGTTTAATTAATCCATTTAATTAAACCCGATCCGATAATTAATCAATCCAATTAATTAATTCGGGAATATAAATAACAAATCCAATTAATTAATTTATCCAACGATTGTTAAATTAATCAATTGAAAATTTGCAACCTATCAATTCTCTTTTGTGTGCGACCCATTAGGTTCTCGACCACGATGCCTAACGACGTGAAATATTATTTTGATCTAATCAAAACTGATAAATTAAATACTCTTTTAATTTATCGCAGATTCACACTCGTCGTCCCAGATTGATATCTAACAATGTATCAGGGCAACACACGTGACGAAAAATGTCACGTGGTATGACAAAATCAAAACTGTTCGTTTACCATGAAATTATAATCCCTTCGTCAATATGATCCGATCAACTACGAGATATGGAAGTGTGTCAATCTCGTTTATCGATCATATCTTTCATTCTTCTATTAAGTCAATATGAGTCGAAAACTCCTTTTCGACTTACATATACATCTTGGCCAAGGATTTCGTTATTGACTTAATTGAACAAAATGCAGATCACAACCTCTTACTATCTAAGAGTGACGAATCCTCTATTGATCATTCACAACTTTCATATGGTTCTTGACATACCCGAACGATGTTGTATTAGTGGCCCTTGGCAGAGCAACATCCAATACCGTCAAAATATGACTGTCCTCATATAAGGTACTATGATGACCTCAAGCTGCAGGACCAATTTTATTACCGAACGTTAGAGATTAACCATTGACACTCAGATAGTTATCCATGTGGAATCTCTTAGCGGGTCTCCAATGTTTTGTTCTATAACAAAATATCCACGTGTTCATTTAAGTGTCACCACACTTTAACTAGTGAGATCAGCTACTTACTTCACAAGTAAGAAATGCCACACGTGATGGTCTAACTGTATTAACGATATCCGTATCTCGTTATTGCTTACGACCACGATTTATTCAAAATCCAATTATATGTAATTTGTATCTCACAATCACAACTTCTTGTCATTAACAAATCACTTAAACTTGGATCTTCGGATTCTATTATTTAATATTATTTATTACGAAATTAATTTAAATAAATAATAGATCTCGCCAAAATTAAATGCATTAAACATATTAAAAGCGTTTACAATCTAAATCGATTGGATCTAGGGCATAACACTTACAAACTCTCACTTGCACTAGATCTAATCACTTACGTGTCTAATACCATAAGTATCCACATGACGATCATGTTTCTGTTGTGACAACGAATTTGTCAGTGGATCTGCAATATTGTCATCTATGGGAACTCGCTCTATCGTTACGTCATTTCTTTGTATAATCTTCCTGATGAGATGATATCGCATTAACACATGTTTGGATCGTTGATGAGATCTCGGTTCCTTCGCTTGCGCGATGGTTCCATTGTTATCACAATACAAAGGTATGGGATCAACAATGCTAGGAACGACTCCAAGTTCATTAATGAATTTCTTGATCCAGACAGCTTCTTTCGCTGCTTCAGAAGCAGCTATGTACTCGGCTTCTATTGTTGAATCAGCGGTTGTCTCCTGTTTGGAACTTTTCCAACTAACCGCTCAATTGTTGAGAGTAAACATATATCCTGACTGAGACTTGCTATCATCTTTGTCAGTTTGAAAGCTGGCATCAGTATACCCATGAATTTTCAGTTCATTTCCTCCATAGATCAAGAACACATCTTTAGTCCTTCTCAAGTACTTAAGAATGTTCTTAACCGCTATCCAGTGTTTCTCACCAGGGTTTGCTTGAAACCTGCTCGTAACACTTAGAGCATATGAAATATCTGGTCTTGTACATAGCATCGCATACATGATAGATCCTATCGCCGAAGCATAAGGAATCTTATTCATGCGACTCCTTTCATCATGTGTTTTAAGATACATATCTTTTGAGAGGTAAATCCCATGCGACATGGGACATAATCCTCTTTTAGACTCTTCCATATTAAATCTTCTCAAGATTTTATCTATGTACGAAGATTGGGATAGGCCTAGTAATCTTTTAGATCTATCTCTATAGATCTTGATTCCCAAGATAAACGCTGCTTCTCCCATATCTTTCATGGAGAAACTCTTTGACAACCATAATTTTACCGATTGAAGCATTGGGATGTTGTTTCCCATTAATAATATGTCATCAACATATATTATCAGGAATACAACCGCGCTCCCACTTGTTTTCTTATAAACACATGGTTCATCTTTATTTTTGATAAAATCAAACATTTTGATTGTTTCATCAAAACGAAGATTCCAGTTCCTAGAGGCTTGCTTTAATCCATAAATGGATCGATTTAGCTTACATACTTTATTGGCTCCTTTGGATTCAAAACTTTCAGGCTGTGTCATGTACACCTCCTCTTATAAGTTTTCATTAAGGAAAGCAGTTTTGACATCTATTGGTCATATCTCATAATCATGGTATGCAACTATTGCAAGCAAAATCCGAATGGACTTTAGCATGGCTACAGGCGAAAAGGTTTCATCAAAGTCAACATCTTATCTTTGTGTGTAACCCTTCGCTACTAGCCTTGCTTTGTATGTATGGACGTTTCCATCCACATCGACCTTTTTCTTGTAAACCCATTTACAACCTATCGGTTTTATCCCACCTGGAAGGTCGACCAAGGTCCAAACATTATTCTCATTCATTGAGTTCATTTAGGATTCCATGGCATCTTACCATCTCTTCGAGTCAACACTTGACTTTACTTCTGCGTAATTTGTAGGTTCATCATTCTCGACTAATAATACTTAATTAGTAATCGTGAATTCTTACCTTCTGGGAGGTCGAATGATCCTACTTGATTTACGCTGAGCTGGAGTGTCCTCAGGGTTCTCTACATCCTGATCAAGAGTCTGTCCATCAACAGGTGTAGGATCAGACTCAGGTTCATCTAATTGGTCAACAGTATCTGTGGATTCTTGAACTTCTTCAAGTTCTAGTTTGCTCCCACTACCCTCTCCTAGAATAAACTCTTTCTCTAGGAATATGGCATGGCTTGAGATGAACACCTTCTTCTCAACGGGATTATAAAACTGATATCCAATTGTCTCTTTTGGATATCCCACAAATACACATTTGTCAGATTTAGCCTCAAGCTTATCTGATTCATTTCGCTTTACATAAGTATCACAGCCCCAAACTTTCATATGAGATAAGTTTGGTCTTTTTCCTCTCCATAGCTTGTATGGAGTTTTGTCGATCGATTTAGATGGGACACGATTAAGTGTGTAGCATGCAGCAATTAGTGCATGACCCTAAAATGATTTTGGGATGTTTGTATGGCTTATCATAGATCGCACCATGTCTAACAAAGTGCGATTTCTCCATCCAGATACACCATTATGTTGCGGTGTATATGGCGGAGTCCACTGCGAGAGAATCACATTCTCTTTAAGATAATTTAAAAATTCTCCCTTTAAATATTCTCTACCTCGATATGATCTCAGCGTGAGTATACTTTTACCAGTTTGTTTCTCTACTTCAAGTTTGAATTCCTTGAACTTTTCAAGTGCTTCATGCTTGAATTTCATCAGATACACATAACCATATCTAGAATGATCATCAGTGAATGTGATGAAGTAAGAAAAACCACCTCTGGCAGTTATTGACATGGGTCCACATACATTAGTATGTATTAGTCCCAGCAGTTCTGTGGTTCTTTCTCCTTTTCCAGTAAAAGGGAACTTGGTCATTTTGCTTAACAGACACGACTCGCATTTGTCAAATGATTCAAAATCAGTTGACCCCAAGTATCCATCTTTATGTAACTTGGAAATGCGTTTATCGTTAATATGACACAATCTGCAATGCCAGAGGTATGTATTATTTAGATTATCACTTTTATGCCTTTTATTTTCTATATTCATAATAGACGACTCACTATCAAGAATATAAATTCCATTTTGCAATACACCACAACCATAAAAGATCTCATCTTTATAAAACGAACAACGATTAGTCTTAACATTAATTGAAAAATTATTCATGTTCAAACACAAAATAGAAATAATGTTTTTAGTAATGGGGGGACCAAAATAACAATTTTCTAATTCTAATACTAAGCCTGAAAGCAGTGGTAAGAAGTATGTCCCTACAGCTAATGCAGCAACTCTTGCTCCATTTCCCACGCGCAGGTCAACTTCTCTTTTCTGCAGTGGTCTACTTCTCTTTAGTCCCTGCATATTTATACAAATATGAGATCCACATCCGATATCTAATACCCAAGAAACTAATGAAATAGACATATTAACCTCGATAACAAAAATACTTGAAGTAAAAGTTTCAGAAGACTTCTTTCCCTTCAAGCTTGCGAGGTTAGCCTTGTAGTTCCTCTTCCAATGACCTTTCACTCCATAGTAATAGCATGGGTCATCAGATTTGGTATTGTCTTTGCCTGCTTTGACTGCTTTGTTATTGCCCTTAGCCTTTTTGGATGTTTTCTTAAAACTTCCTTTGATTTTCCTCTTAGTTCTCTTGGAGGAATGAATAGCTAAGACATGCCCAATACTAGCCTTGACATTGGACTTCATAGTTTTAAGCATACTAAGCAACTCAAAGAGTGTGCATTCGATCTTATTCATATTAAAGTGCATAATGAACTGTGAATAATTATCTGACAACGATTGCAGAACCAAGTTAATACTTAGTTCATGATCAATGATAAAACCCAGTGAACTCAGTTTTTCAATGAAACCAATCATCTTCAGCACATGAGCACTGACTGATGATCCCTCTACCATTTTGCACCGGTATAGTTGTTTAGAGGTCTCATACCTCTCCACACGTGATTGTTCATCATACAACTCCTTGAAATGAAAAACCATAGTGTAAGCATCCATACCCTCATGTTGCTTCTGCAACTCTGGTGACATAGCTGCAAGCATCACACATGCTGCAGTGTTATCGTCATCACTGTTTTTATTCTAAGCAGCCACCTCTTCCTAAGTAGAATTTTCAGTAGGCACCACTGGAAAGGACTGCTCAAGGACATATCCAATTTTCTCATGCTTGAGAACGATTCTAAAATTGCGATGCCAATCGAGAAAATTTGGTCCGGCCAGTCTGTTGGCATCCAGTATGCCTCTCAAATTCATATTATTACTCATGATTCAAAGAACTGTAAATGACGAAAAACATAGAATTAATATGTATTATAATGCATATGCATAAATTCAATATGGACTTTAATTAAACGTGCTCTCACTGTTTAAAACAAATTCATGACCCTCATACATGAATTATTTGAATCCACACTTGATTCCTAGTGGGCTGGGATCCCATTCGTTGTATCGAGATCTTGAGTGTACTCAACAAATCCTAATAAAACATTTGGGTGGATATTATTATCAATTGTATCTCCATACAACTCTTAGATCATTAAGCTGACAACTCTTTTGTCTTCACACATCTTATGTGTTAGCCTAACATGCCTCTAAAACTTATCTCCTTGAGTGTACTCAACAAAAGATAAATTTTAGTTAAGTCAAACCCATCATTCAGAAATATCAAATATTTCATAGTGTCAAACATATCCCTAATAGACCAGCCTTGAGTGTACTCAACAAGCTAAGGTCGATTTAGGATTCTCGTTTTTCACTATAATGATGGAAGACAAATAATACTAATTTAATATTTTTAATGAGGAATTTAACATGCAATGGTCTCATCAAATAATTATATATATACATATATTTAAACATACATCTACTATGCGAATAAATATATATATATAAGTAATAGTATGGATGATTATGGACTTGTTCTATCTAGTTTTCCCGAGTCAAAGGGAAAACTAGTCGGTCAATTCCTAAGGGGTATAGCATTGGATCAATACCAATACACCATCTCCATAGTGTCCACCTTTTCTTGCGCTTCCAATTAGCCGAACTTGCAACACGTATCCTATACTAGTTGGCACACAGACCTAAAAGAAATCGAACTCGTAGGCCCATAATAATAACAATAATAATGGACTCGTAGGTCCAATATAATAAAGAGCTCGCAGGCTCACAACAACAATAATAAAAACGGACTCGCAGGTCCAAACAACAATAGGAAGTAAATCAACCATTCAACACATCCATATGTTCGAGTCCATAATCATCCATAAAAATTCATCACATAAATATTTCCTATGTATAATATCTAATATTATATGCAATGTCTCATAAATCTAGCAATTATAGTCGTCAAAACTAATTCAAAAATTTTGGGATCGAGATAATTAAACAATTAATTAATCATATTGATTAATTAATTTAATCGACGGGCCTATTTAATTAAAATCAAATTTTAACTAAATCCCGAATTAGAGTCCAACTCTAATTCCATAACTATTGGACGAAGTAATTTAATCAAAATCGAATTTTAATTAATTATTAAATTAGAGTCATACTCTAAGTTTTAATTTGCATTGGGAAGTGGTACTAATTGAAAACAAATTTTAATTAATATAATATTAGAGTCCAACTCTAATAAAATTGAATTAATATTTTAATTTAGGACAAACTTCCCAAACAAAATAAAATTCAATTAAGGGTCAAAACTAAATATTTAAGTTAAAATCTAATTTTAACAAAAATATAAAAGTCATCAAATTTTAAATAAATTTTAATTCTGGGTCAAAATTAGGGTATGGGTCAAACCCAATTAAAAACTCATTTTTAAAACAATTAAAAATTCAAAATCAAAACTTTTTTGACAATTTACAAATTTGACCCAAATTGGAAATTAACAGCAGACCCTTCCAAACTAAAAATTTGCAGAACAGGTCCCTCATTTTAAAATTGCAAATTGACCCCATTTTCGTAATTGCAACTAGGGACCCCTAATTACATTATTTGCAACAGAGGCCCCCGTCTTCACCACCAAACCCTAAATTTTTTTTTCCTCCAGTGGCGGCGCCAGTGCTGGAGACAACTAGCGGCGCCCTCACGCTGCAGCAGCGCTTGCCGCACGGTGAGCCGCTTGCCTCAACCCAAATTTTTGTTTTTTTTTCAAGAACAGATTCTGAAGAGAAAAAAAATTAAAACTATATTTGCTAGATTTAGGGATGAACATAATTAAACCAACATTTAATTTAATCAACACGTAAAACAGTTCCTAACAAATACAAAGTTGGCTCTGATACCACTGTTGGGAATTTACTTAAACATGCACAACGAAATTTAACAAATTTCAATTCCCATTCAGGATTCAGCTTTGTATTTAGATAAAAACTGTGATAAGAAATATATTTTTTCTTTAATTTGCAAATTCCTTCGCGTTATTCCTTTCCAGCAGCTTGAATCTGTCTCCCACAGCTGTCCAATTGTCCAGGCTCTAATGAAATCCACACAGAGAATAGACTGCAACTGCTAGGGTTTTCTCTCTTGTGCCAACAAGAATAATGAAAATCTTATGGATTTTAAACCCTAGTCATATATTTATATAAACTCAAACAGGCTCGACCCGGTCCGGTCCATTGTTTAATTAGTCCATTTAATTAAACCCGGTCCGTGAATTAATCGATCCAATTAATTAATTCGAAAATATAAATAACAAATCTAATTAATTAATTTATCCAACGATTGTTAAATTAATCAATTGGGAATTTGCAACCTATCAATTCTCTTTTGTGTACGACCTATTAGGTTCTCGACCACGATACCTAACGACGTGAAATATTATTTTGATCTAATCAAAACTGATAAATTAAACACTATTTTAATTTATCACAGATTCACACTCGTCGTCCCAAATTGATATCTAACAATGTATCAGGGCAACACATGTGACGGGAAATGTCACGTGGTATGACAAAACCAAAACTGTTTGTTTACCATGAAATTATAATCCCTTCGTCAATATGATCCGATCAACTACGAGATATGGAAGTGTGTCAATCTTGTTTATCAATCATATCTTTCATTCTTCTATTAAGTCAATATGAGTCGAAAACTCTTTTTCGACTTATATGTACACTTTGGCCAAGGATTTCATTATTGACTTAATTGAACGAAATGTAGATCACAACCTCTTACTATCTAAGAGTGACGAATCCTCTATTGATCATTCACAACCTTCATATGGTTCTTGACATACCCGAACGATGTCGTATTAGCGGCCCTTGGCAGAGCAACATCCAACACCGTCAAAATATGACTGTCCTCATATAAGGTACTATGATGACCTCAAGTTATAGGACCAATTTCATTACCGAACGTTAGAGACTAACCACTAACACTCAGATAGTTATCCATGTGGAATCTCTTAACGGGTCTCCAATATTTTGTTCTATAACAAAACATCCACGTGTTCATTTAAGTGTCACCACACTTTAACTAGTGAGATCAGCTACTTACTTCACAAGTAAGAAATACCACACGTGATGGTCTAACTGTATTAACGATATCCGTATCTCGTTATTGCTTACGACCACGGTTTATTCAAGATCCAATTATATGTAATTTGTATCTCACAATCACAACTTCTTGTCATTAACAAATCACTTAAACTTGAATTTTCGGATTCTATTATTTAATATTATTTATCACGAAATTAATTTAAATAAATAATAGATCTCGCCAAAATTAAATACATTAAATATATTAAAAGCGTTTACAACCTAAATCGAATCGATTTAGGGCATAACACTTACAATAAGAACCTTTCTAATCAATAAAAACATTTTCTTGAAACTGAACAAACAAAAGCAACCCTATCTCCTTTCTTGAATTAAAATCAACTGCAACAAGGAAGGCTCACACAGTCACATTTGCTAGAGGAATTCTAAACGGGGAACCAAAGAAAATCTAAAAAATTCTTTAATCCACACATTGACGTAATAAGACAATTACCAGTAAATGTGTTTGTGGAAGCCGAGGTTAGTGGCAGGGTGAGGACATTGATGACTAAAGATAAGGTTAACAAGGCGAAAGCATTTGTGGCCCGTGGGCATGGTATTATAATGATTGAAAAATATGTGATGTGGAGAAGAAGACGCCATGAAAAGCAAGCTTTTATTATAGATAGATAGATATACAGGAAAAAGATGCAAGCAAACCACCAGGCTACGCCAGTGAGCGTCCTGGTACGGCAGTTTCTAGTAACAAGCCAGTAAGGTTGTAGTCATGGCGGCTAGAGGTTGATGCTCCCGACTCCCGAGAGTTGGCTCTAGGGCGCGCAGTGTGAGGCCCATTAAACTTTTCTTTTCTCTTCGAAGATCGCATTGTTGTGCATGTGTGTGACAATTGACAAGACTCACAAGACTTCAATAATGATAAAAGTATGGATGGTACATTTTTTGTTTCTTCCGGGGATAGAGATGGCAACTAAATTGTCATTAAAATATGAATGATTTTATTTGTAAGCTTTCAATGTATTTAATGGATTACACCCCTTTGACATGGGGATCTTTTGGCCTACGTGCTTGAGAGCATCTCAAACAAATATGAGTTTGGTTCGGTCTAAATTCAAGCACTGCACGCCCAACATTGTTTCCATCAACCAAGCCAACTTAAAATCCAGTCTTTTAAGGTCTAATCTTTCCCCCTTCTCATGGTTCTGGCTAGAGCACTTTGGATTTTATTGCTCTTGGCGAGTCTACCGTATCTGTGAATTTCCCTTTTTTGGGCTACTCTTTAAGTTGTTATGACTATAGTTAGGGAAAGGTTCTCTGTAAATGTCTAAGGGTTGGTTGTTGGGTGTGCCAATGGTACACATGTGGGATCATCATAAAAATATTTTGAGTGGATTTTTTTGTTTATTTTAGGGATAGAGATGACAATGATTTTGTCATTAAATTGTCTGGATTTTGCTAGATGAATAAGGTCACATTGACCCTGTTCAAACAGGGGGTGATGTAGCGATCCCTATAAGCGAGGAGCTTTGTTTTTTTTTTTTTCAGGGATAGAGATGGCAATGAAACTGTCATTAAAATATCTTGTGTGGGTTTTGTTAGATGAACAAGGCCACATTGGCCCTTTTCGAACAAATGGCGCCACATCATGTTTGTCGCCCTGTTTGAACAACTTTTGCCATCTTGTGTTATTTATTCAATTTATTTTATTATTTTAAATACGATCTAAATTTAAGTCTTTGTTTAACAATCATTATTTCAAAACTATTTTTTTCTATGTATTCATTTTCAACCATACATTTACAAAAAAAAAAATTTTGCACGTAAATTCTAAATTTTTTTTTTTTTAACCACACATTTTTCAAAAAATCACTATTTAAAATTCTATTTTACCAAATAATGTTGTCAAACAAGGGCTAAATATATAAAAATGTAACTAAAATAAATTAAAAAATGAATGTCTGTACGGACAAATGATAGGGTAAGACATTTTGTCCCTGTTTAGACTCCATTAATATCAAAATGTATTTTTCTCCCCTTTTTTTCAATGATAAATCCTTCAATAAAATAATATTATACGTAAACTCATAAAATTTTCTTCTTTTTTAATCACACATTTTTATAAAAATATTATTGCAAAATGTGTTGTAAAATGTAAGTTTATTAAGGTTTAGAGGTGAACTACAATTATAGCCCTGCAACCCTAAAAATAATTATTGTTGTATCTCTAATTCTGCCATATAAATACAGGACTTTGAGTCTTAATAAAACATACACAGTCTATTAACTTCTCTTTGTTCTCTTCTCTTTTCACAACACGTTATCAGCACAAAATCTTAATTCTTCAAAATTTAGTGAAGGTAGTAATATGTTTTAAACATAATTATCTATCACATGTACCGAAATTAATTTGGTGATATGTGAATTTTTTCTACATACAAGGCGACTGCTTTGTTCTCCCTACTTTTAATAAGTTTTTTTCTCTAATGATTCCCACGCCTTTTGAGTTGTCCATTTCCGTGCAATTGTGCCACCACAATTAAGGGTCTGTTTGAGTCACATTATTTAAAAAAAATACATTTTTAAACAGTAATTTGACATTATTTTAACCACACATTTTTCAATAAAATAATATTATACGCAGATCAAAAATTTTTCCTTATTTTTTAACCACACATTTCTCATCAATACATTATTTAAGAATGCATTATTACCAAAGTAATGTGGTTCAAACACCTCTAACTCTATTTCTTGCAATTATGTTGTCAATTTCAGTGAATGGTGTACCGAAAGACGTGCCCTCAATTTATGTGTAACGGTATAATGTTCATGTATGGTTTTTATATGTTGAGTGCAACTGTTGAAATTTTAAATAAATTTAGAATCCTATAATCATGCAACTGTTCGTATTAGTCAATATAATAGATTCAAAGTCAATATAAAATTAATTGTAAGTGTAAATGTATCATGTTTATATTAATAAATGATGAAATCAAATAAATTCATATTTATTATGATTATTAATATTTTTTTTGTCTTTAACTTGATTAAATATTTTAGATGCTCTTTTTGAATTAATAATTTATCATGTTGTTGCTCTTGAAATAACACAATATTATAATTAATATTTTTGAAGAATATTCTTTGCTCCTAAAGAGCATAAATTATATTTTTCAATATATCCAGAAGAATATTGACGTATTGACCTTGAAGAAATAATAATAAAATACAAAATGCTCTTGAAGTAGCATATGTTTCGAAAAATATATTATTTTAGTGTTTATTTCTGAAGGAAAACACATAATTTATATCATGATTAACTATTATGTGATGTCAAATCATATTTTTCGAAACAAATTTTATTTTATTTTCTCTCGCTTTATTTTGTAGTTAATCAAATGGCAAATATCACAAGACTTGCGTTTGCTGCACTTGACATCTCTGACAAAACTATCTATCATGGATACTTGATGCTGACATTTATATTGCCTCAAAAGATTTGGGAGAGATAATAAAAGAAGAAAACAAAGAATCCCTGATCGTACAAAAACACTCATATTCCTTCAACATCATCTTCACGATGGACTGAAAATTGAATATATCACCGAGAAAGATCCACATGTTCTTTGAAAAGAATAACTAAGGGATTGAAAAAATTATTCATTTGCAAAGAATTGCAAATCAAGTATCTGATATATTTGTTGACACAAAAGAAATGACAAAGTCATATATTCCAACCGAAAATATTCCAACAAAAATTGATGTCCCTGCATGACAATTTGCTGTGGTAAATGAATTTCAAATATGGTATAAGCATGGTCGACCGGTTGGTTCAAAAGACTCTGTACCTTGAAAAAGAAAGGTGCATGAGAAAAACCAGTCAAAAATTTCGGAAGAAATAACATTAGAAAAGATTGATCAATCAAATATTGAAGATAATGAGATTTCGATAAATTATATATCATCTCATAAATTATGGGAACGAAATAATGTTGTTATAGACAATAATTTCGCATTTAATGTGACTCTTGATATTATGCAAAATGAGAATCATGAACCACAATCAGTTAAAGAGTGTCAAAATAGAAATGATTGGCCAAAATGGAAAGAAGTCATACAGGCGGAATTGAATTCCTTAGAGAAACGAAAAGTATTTGGACATGTAGTTCGAACACCTGAAAATGTAATCCATGTTGGATACAAATGGGTTTTTGTACGAAAGAGAAATGAAAATAATGAAATTACAATGTACAAAGCCTGACTAATAGCTCGAGATTTTTCACAAAGACCAAGAATTGATTACGATGAAACATATTCTCCTGTAATAGACACTATCACTTTTATATTCTTAATTAGTTTGATTGTGTTACAAAAGTTTAATATGCGCCTTATGGATGTAGTAACTGCATATTTGTATGGTTCACTTGATATATATATATGAAAGTCCCTGAAAGACTTATGGTATCAGGAACAAGTGATACATGATCGAGAACTATGTTTTTCAATTAAATTGTAAAGATCATTATATGGATTGAAATAATCCGGATGCATTTGGTATAATCGTCTTAGCGAATATTTGATGAAGGAGGGTTATAATAACGACGATGTCTATCCATGTATTTTCATAAAAAAACAGATATTGGATTCGTAATTGTGGTAGTTTATATTGATGATTTAAATTTAATTGAAATTCCTGAAGAGCTCAACAAAATTGCTAATTATTTGAAAAACGAATTTGAGATTAAAGATTTGGGAAAAATCAAATTTTATCTCGGATTACAGATTGAACATTTCACAAATGGATTATTTGTTCATCAATCCACGTATACAGAAAAAGTTTTAAAACATTTTTATAATGCACATCCATTGGTATCACCTATGGTTGTTCGATCACTTGATATAAAAAAATGATCAATTTCGTCCACTTGAAGATGGAGAAAAATGTTATTGGTCCTGAAGTACCATATCTTAGTGCAATTGGAGCATTAACTTATCTTACAAATTGCACTCAACTCGACATAATTTTTTCTGTAAATCTCCTTACAAGATATAGCTTTACACCAACTCAAAGACATTAGAATGGTGTTAAACATATTTTTCGTTACCTAAAGAGTACCATTGATTTGGGACCATTTTATTCTCAAAAGTCGGGATTTGCTTTAGTGGGATATGCAGATGCAGGTTATCTATCTAACCCACATATAGCTAAATCACAAACATGTTATGTATTTACACGTGGAGGAATGACTATATCATGGAGATCTGTGAAACAACCCTTGAAAATAATATCCTCAAATTATTCTGAAATTATTGCAATTCATAAAGCAGGACGAGAATGTGTGTGGTTGAGAAATATGACTCATCATATCTAATGAGTGCTCTACACTCATGATATTTATGCCACATAATTTGTTATTTTGCTACTCTTGAGAGTGTTTAGAGCTTTTTAATGTGTGTTTTGATGTTGTGATGTAGGTTGATGAAATTGAAAGAAATAAGCAAAAGTTGGCGAAATTGGAGAAAATAGCCAAATTGTAAGAGATCCAAAGTTTGGGGACTAAAATGTAAATATTGAAAAGTTGTGTTGAACCTTGCAATGAAAATCCGAGAGTGCTATGAGTCAATTGGATGAAAAAAGATATCAAAGGGATCAAATTTAGTCAAAATATGATCACAAATTAATTTCCAACCGAAAAGTTATGCTTTGGAGTTTCAGCCTCATATTGAGACCCATTTTTATCATAGTAAACGATCAATTTGATGAATGATG